GTATGAAATGAGACTAATTCAGTCATTGTAAAGCTATGAAGAAATGCAAGAACCGCTGGACACTGATGTTTAATCTTTGAAAGCCAAGCCTGAACGTTCAAAACTGATGAATCTCTACTTGCTCAAGTCTTTGTTTGTCTTATTTTATTGTTTTAAGATATTGGTTCTAGAACACTCTTTGTATAATAATATTTTTCACTTTCATTAGACTTGAAGATGACATAAAAAGAATTAAAAGAGTTCTCAAATACGCTGACGCTAATAAAAATTATTGAACATTTCTAAACCTTTTGTTATATGAGCCGTAGATGCCATCAATTTGTCAGTACAAGCTCATAATCCATATATAATTTTGTGTGAAAGGAATTTTTGGCTCAACCTTCTCTTAAAAATATGAACGCCGTTGGTCAACTGAAAAAAGCCTTGTAGTAACATATCAGATGCGATATTTAATAATCAATCTTCAGGGATCTCAGTTTTTCCGTGAAAAAGAGGGGGGAGGCCGGGGGGGGGGGATATTCATCAATATTTGGAACTAATCTAATGATCTAGTTGTTTGAATAAGATAATTGTTCCACTTTCACATTTCAGATTATTTTAGATTATTATTTTAATAACAGATTAAGTAAGATGACATCTTTGAATGTTCAAAAAAATTTAAAATGGTGAAGTTGCACTGTATTACAATTTTCTGCACTGAATTACACTTTTTTGTACTGAATTACACTTTTTTGCACTGAATTACGTTTTAACAACACTGCTCTAAGCCAATCAGAACTGAGTAATTTTTTCATGTTATTATATTGCAAACTTGTAGTCTTTATTGATAAAATACATTATTTTGTGGGGGTTTTTTTTTTTTTTTTTTGCGTGCTATGCGGTCGTACAGTTGTTGTAAACACTTGTTTTATTTCAAACCAAATTGCACTTCACTCGTCGATCTTCATTTGCATTTACAAAACATATTCCTTAGTTCTTTCCTGAATTCGGGCATTCTAAATGAATATACTATTACATTCAAAAGAGAATTTATAAGAAGCAAGGATGTTAAGATTGCATACAGAATTACGTCTGGGTTATCGTAAATATTATGCAAATATATGTTATCTTGAATAGTTTTTGGCATCCAAGTTCCTAGTGAAACCAAGGTCACTATGAATAGTGTTTTGGTCAATTTACTGTTCTCTTGGATTGTTCTACAGCGACGAAACTTGGTGAAGAATTTCAGTTTGATCCAAATGGAGAGATATGAGGCGAGCATCGTAGCAAGCGATAAAACTGGTGTACTAAGAGTAAAGAGCCAAGGAAGATGATGTGATTTAGCCGTGTTGAAAAAATTGGACACCATGATGATGATAGTTACTAATCCGCAAACTGTAAGAAGCCAAACAACTGCTATCGCAATCAAATAATGGCTTGATTTGAAGAGGCGATGATGAAATGGCAAGAAAACTGCAAGTGATCTTTCGACGGCTATAAGAGACAAGGAAAGGATGGACGCATTTGACAAAGATATAGATACGCTCACAAAAATCTGCGTTGTAAAGCCATTTGATTGAGGTTGTCGAGAAAAGAAAACTAAGAAAGCACAATAGGCCATACCCGAAACACCAACCAGCAAATCCACAATGGTCAAGTTCACCAGAAGGTAGGTGGACTTCTTAATAAGAAATGACTTCTTTAAGAAAACTGTGAGAGCGATGGTGTTTCCAGCTGTGATCAAAAGCGTTAGTGGAAAGCTTACACGAAGCCATAAATAATTCCATTCCGTCAAGATTTCCAGGTTTTCACTGATGTTCCTCTGGAGTCCACTGAAAGACATCTTAAATTCGAATACAATCAGTTGTTCATACGATGCAAGCTCTGTAGCGGGATAATGCCTTTAACACTATTTGACCAACACTAGTTTTTAATGAGAAAACACCACCCTTATTCGGATCTAAAATTGTCACAAACTGTCAAGCGTATATTACGATTTCACGCGTCTTGATTAAATTATATTTTTAATTACATTTTTTTCCTAGTGACATCTCCCACTACTACGAATGAAAATATTGTAAGTAAACAGCATTCAAAATTAATCCTTATGGAATAAGAGTTCATAGTAAGTTGTTTTCATTATTTACAAATCCCTAACTAGTAATCTTTTGTACGTACGCCAAAACGACAAATAACTAGTTTCCACTGAATATTTATTTGTCTTTTTGGCGTACGTACAAAAGATTACTGGTTAGGGATTTATACCTAATGAAAACAACTTACTATGATTATAAAATCTTTTTAAGTCTCGGCTGAAATAATTTCAGAAATAAGAGTTCCACCTTCATTAAGTAGTCTTTCGGTAGTCTTAACAATATTTCAGGAATTTCAAGCAGGAATATCAGCCTTTTTCCCATTTATTGATCCTCAAATGTACACTAAATAAACAAATAAAAAGAAATATTGAATTGAGATTTATATAGGATAAAATTTTTGGTAGTTGTTGAATTAAGATATGAAAATAAAGATATTTGATATAGACACATTAGTCAGCCAATCAGCTCCAATTATGACTAAACGTAAAACATGAAATTTACAAAACAATATATATATCCCAGAATCACGTGCTACAATTCCTTGCAATGTATGAATTACCACCACTTCTTCATTTGTGCACGTTCGTTCCAATGACTTCAAAAATATGAGTGACCAACCCATCCACCCCCATGTGATGTGGCGCGCTTCATGGCTGCGGTACACGTGAATGTGAATGAATGGATAAATGAATGAATGAATGAATGATGAATGAATGATGGATGGATGTTGAAGTGTTTATCTTGTATTAAATTACCACATACCACTCCAGCATCACGGCTGATATCGCATCCACAACAGTTACCCCAGCCACCATGAGGACATTGATCAATAGATTCTTCGGATCCCAAGCAACGAATGCCTTTAAGCCATATATAGATATAAAGGACCAGTTCCTTTGATGCTAGCAATGATGTTGCTATTACTGTTGATGTTGCTGTTACTGCATGCCTTGGAGTAATTCAACATGTGACGAACCAGGTAAGCCTCATGCATATCCCATCATTTTGTATATCATTTTGCTCATTTGCATACTATATTTGCTTACAAAATTGTTCGCGGGAAATCTTGAAAGTTGTTGTTGGCGTGGATAATCATAGCATATTTAATGGCAGACGAAAAATGATGAAAACGTTTATACAAGCTCAAGGACTAAGGCGATTCCGGACTTGTAAAACTATAACGCAACTATAAGGCGGTCATGACCTAGTTTTGAGTGCAATTGTACTCGAATACGGGAATTATTTTATTGGTTTTATAGGGTCTTAGATAGGTGTCCCCAATTAGTTTATTTTGTAATAAGCTAGAACGATGTGACACATTAATAAATTTATTATTATTAGAGACGAACAACAACCTCCGACTTCTGACCTAAGGAAAAAAAAATTCTGAATTAAATTGTCCCAAGGTTTTTGAAAAGAACTTGCATTGAGTTATAGAATCATTGTACGATGAAAAAATATCTAAGACCAAGAGAATATGAAGTAAGTCTAGCACATCTCCGTGCGCTATGAAAGTTTTTTTGAAAATCGATCATTTTTTTTAAAAACTTCGCAAGCAAACCTGAGCTATTTTTAGCATGCGATTCCTGATTGGTCAGATCGTAGTGACGTCATGGGTACTCAAGAGATCGGCAGTGACAAGCAAGCTTCAAGCAAGTTAACAAAACAAAATTTATTCAGTTTTAGGGAAAATGTGTTAAAGAAATTCCTTGAGAAATTCTGAAAGGTATTTGAAGGAATCCAGAAACAGCACAAGCAAAAAACTACTCAGCCGAGACTATAAAATTCAAGCTTGTTTTAACATCAAAGCAATGTACGTTCGATTGAGACTCATCTTTTGGAGTTGATTGTGGCTATAGATGAGATTGTTATGTTAGTTGTCCGCAATTCTCCACTTGCCTAAACTGAAATACAGTAAATATTGAAGAACACGTACTTCTGACTTGAACTTCAATGTTTTCAAAATGACAAGTTATCTTGTTGACATCCAAGGCTATGTGCACACTATGAAGGATAGCAATCGCTTCGGCTCAAAAAGTATACCGGATAGGCCTTCTGTTTACACATGGAGTGCTTGTTTTTGGAGTGACTTTTGTATTGGATAGATGTTGCTCCGCTCTGGTTTCAAAAGTGATACACTTTGTATCGGATAGGTTTTTGTGCCGATTAAAGTGCAGTATGAACCGCACGATCCAGTATGTAGCCGGAAGTTTAAGTGGTTTGAGTAAAGATAGGGAGTTGGAAACATCCGCTGTCGACAAAATGCTGGCTCATGCTCCGTTTCCCGCCTGTTCACATTGGGACCTGGAATACCATGTGACAATAGCCTAAAATGAAGGAAGAATGGACTCGTTGACAAAAGAGGATTTTCGATAAAGAACTTGTTGAATTCGCTTTTTTACAAACTTTATAAGCTTAAGCTGGGAGAAATTTATAATTTATTGTTGGAATCATTTGTTGAACAGTAAATAAAGGAGAGGTTTTAAAATAGCTGAAAACGGTCAAGCTGCTTAGAATAGAAGAATTAAACATAAAGGCACAAATACGCCGAACTGAGCATCGGGCGGAATAAATCGTAGGTAAAATACTCTTCAGGCAGGTAAAAAAATCTTTTTATTACTTTGAATTCTCAAATACTAACTTGATTCGCGCTCTTTGTACTTGGCTGATAAGTGGTTGTATTTCTTTTTTCTGTTGGAGACTTTATAGAAATTGAAAAGTTACGATAAATACCTGAACATTGACTGACATTATTATTGAAATGATGAAAAAAGTTCTAGTTTTAATATTAAAACGTTTTAATTAATTCACCTTTTCTCGATGGTCTTTTATATAAAGTGACGTATTGTTTATTATTATTATTATTATCATTATTATTATTATTATTATTATTATTATTATTAATGTATATATATTTTTTGGCAAGCTTAACATATTAAAGAAGCACTCAAAGTATAAGTATTAAAAAGTTTTAATATTTTTGACGATCGATTCCCATGATCTGGCGATGATCGATAAGATGGTACAGTTACGGTGTTGAGTAGTAGTGGGACAGGATTTAGATTTATGGTTCAATCAAAGAGGCCTATCAATCTAAAAGGTTAAGTATTTATCGTAGCCATTAAAGGAACGAAATTATCCATATTGTTTGCCATTTTGATTTGTTTTGCCCACTGGGGACGACCACTAGCTATTCAAGATGGCCGCGGTATAAAATTGGACCTCCCAACGGAAAAATCTCCGGTTACGACAGTTTTGGTTTCGGGAAAGGTTAATTAAAGAAAGAAAAAAAAAATTCTGTCAATTTTTGTTTTGCTGATTTAAATCTTTTCAACTAATTTACATATCGTAGCAATTTATTTGAATTCTTCCTTTTATCAGTTATTTACAGAATGATGTTCATCTTCTTATATGCTAAACTGCAAAACGTCAACTGGATTCTGGTCTTTTCTGAACCATCAATCTTCTTGGGCTTGTACAAATTAGTCTTCCAACAAGGTTTCTTTGCTTCGGCTTCGTTAACCCATTTTTTTCTCGAAAATCTGGATGGATGGATGGATGGAGGGAGGGAGGGAGGGACGGACGGACGGACGGACGGACGGACGGACGGACGGACGGACGGACGGACGAATGGGTTTTAATAAACACAGTTGAAACGCCCTTTAGGAATATCTTTTACACATTTTTAAAATCTAGTTACAAACGTTTCCTATTACAGACCACGTGTCATTCTCTTGAAGTTAAGATTAAATTATGGATAGATAATTATGGATAGATATATATATATATTTTTGCAAATAACACTGGGAATCTAGAACAGTCAAAACATAATACCCAAGGGAATGACAAAAAATTATAAAAAATAGGTTGTATTCGCGTTTGTACTGCTTTTCATATTTCCACAGATTCTTCTTTAATCTTCTGTCTGCAATTTCAGTCTTCAGACCAAGTTTCGTCTTCCATCATTGCTATGATGCATTTGTTAGTAACTAGATACCTGAAAACAGGGGGAAAATAAAGGAAAGATTAGTAAACGGAAAATTAGCAATAGCTAAACAAATTATTATAGTAACTTATGTATAACTATATTGGTATATATTCAAACAAAACGTTTTTGGCCTCTCTTTCAGAAATAACCTGAAATGAACAAAAGTGATATTAGAATATGATAACTTATCAATGTGTATAAATATATTGGTATATGTTCAAACAAAACGTTTTGGCCTTTCTTTCAGAAATAACCTGAAACGAACAAAAGTGATATTAGAATATAGAAATGATAGAAATAGTCGTCAAGCAAGTTGTAATTAATTAGTAAATGACAACAGTGTTCACGGTTCGAGTGTCCACACTAATAATATGGGTCATAACTTAATCCAGAGATAGTAGATACTAGAAGAACAAATTGTTGGGGTACATTATTAAGTAAAATACAAAACGAAATAAAGTTGATATCAACAATTAAATATATATTGTTTAGAATTATGAACTATTTCAAGATAAACTTGGCTAAAAATAAGTATACTGGAAGCATTGGAGCATTGCACTTCACCTTTGTACGACCTCCCCCCCATTCCTCTTCCCCGTAGTAGATCAAAACGTATTGATTCCGATCTCTCGGCCCTAGAACTCTACCTGAATTTATACCATCAACCCACCCCCCCCCCTCCCCCTTTCTCCTAAAAAAATGGTTACCGTAAGATTGTCAAATATTTACTTTTTTCTCTAAAACGCCCAAGAATTTTTATTTCGTTCAGCCCCTCACCCTCTGGATTTCTTGAGGTCTTCATGGTACAAAAATGAAAAGTAATGTCCCATTTTGAATAAAGTATTCTTATTGTTTAACCAAGACAACAAGATCAATCTGATCCATGTTACAAAATTTCGATTGCTTCAAAATTTTACAACTGTATTTGCTCATGATTCTGATGCTCAAATCATTCGATCATCAGAATAATGATCACATAGACATTGTGACTTGAAACTAGGCATTTTCAGATGTCAAAAATGCCTGGTAACAATAGAAAAAAATTGTATTGAATTTGTAGTCGTAAAAATATAAGTCATTGTTGTATGTAAGATCCTTGAGGTAGAAGCACCGTGCAGTGGATGTGTCGTATGGTTGAGATGCCGCGCGAAGGAAATGTCGTGCGGTGGAAGTGGATGAGGTGGAAGTGCCGTGGGGTGGAAGTTCCGGGCAGTGAATGTGATAGTCCCCATTGCTACGGTAGTGAGTGAGTGATTTAATGTACTGTGACCCAGCCATGTGCCGCATATTTTAACAATCACTCACATACCTTCGCAATTTTTCACTCTTGTCGTAAAAGTAACATTGGCAGCATCTCCATAATTATTACCCTGTCAGGTGAATGGATCATATCAGTGTCTTATGCAGGCAAATATTGACGTTAGTTATAATTTAGTCAATTTGAGATATAATGCGCGTGATGATTGGCTGGCTAACGATGTCTATATTAGAAAATCTTCTTATTTGAGTGTCTTGTCCTTCAAGCACTTTCGCAGTCATTGGGAAAACTTTTCACTCAAAAAATCACACACGCTATCACTACATTCAATTTTCTGTGCGCACAACGATCTACTCAGATGTTGATTGTTAAGGACGAAATAGGAGAACCCGGTGTAACCCTCGTAGGATGGAAAAAGAAGCATATCAAACGAACTCAATTCAAATATGGTATGTGCAGGGCTCGAACAAGCGACCCCCAAGTTTGGGACAACACAATGCTACCCGGAAACACGCTTGCACAAAAAACGTCTATAACATTAAGCAGAGCAGTTTTTTGCTTCTTAATTCATCTACTTACCCCATTCTGTGCCATTGTGACTGCCCTTACAAACACTCGGTATGTAGACCCAGATTCTAACGGTGTGTTATAGTAACCTTGGTAATAGCTGCCATCACCAATTGTAAAATTACCAACTAAATTAGAACCCAGGATCTCGGCCGTCACGTACGGTTGGTTAACTTTCATGGATGATCTGTAGCAGTTAAGACTTGAAACTTCTAGTTTGGTGATAGAAATTTGGAAAGATCTGTGCAAACAAATAAAATACATAATAGTATTTACCAATGATCCTTTCTCATGCCTCTCGATTTCCACCTCGTCTATTGGAAACATTTTATGTGGAACAAAATTCCCCTCCCAAATATCTGATATTTGACATTGTTTGTTTAACATACGCCTCGTGATATTCTAACTCACTTTGTTATGTTTTTCTCTTTTTCAGTTGTTGTCGTGTTGAAAACAAGCATAGCAGTTGTGTATGATGGTCCATCAGATTCGCTGCTTACTACAAATCGTGGAGCTGAGGCTAAGAAAACACAGCAACATATTTATATTTATTTATGGACAATATTTAAGCATAGATGCCCGGTTCAGCATAGCTGGTTTAAATGGGGCTCTGCAGGTAGGCTACTATACTTATTAGTAATAGCATAGCCTATAAGGGAGATTAGTGATTAAATGTCCCCGAAACCCGAGGTAGGTGTTGTTAAAGTCTGGACGCCTTTCGCGCGCTCGTTGATATCAGCTTTAATATCCGTCTGTCCTCTTATTGATGATAAAAATAACCAATCAGCGCGCGAGAAATTTGTAAGTTATTGCGAAATAAAATATATGTACTGGGTCAATGCGACCCAGTCCTGGTCCCGACAATTGTTATATAAGGGAACGGGACTCGCGAACGGTGAATATAAGAATACAATCATGAGAGACGATTAGTCTAATCGTCTTTAATGTTCAAATTGATGAGGGACATTTAGAAGTAATGTCCATCCTCACTATTCATCCAGAGGAATGTTAGCAATTAAACGTCCCCCCGGAGACAATAGATTTCGAGATAATAATATTATCAATATCACTAAGCAAATAGTGCGCTATTGCAACCAAGATAAAGTGTTGGCTTTATTTAGAGGACGACCGAACCTGCCCGTCCCCTTTTTGCGATGAATGCTTTTGTAAAGAAAGTTGTCTTTTCTCTGCCCTATTATAAACTGTTATGCTTATGACTCTAATTTCTGAATACTATCTTGCCTCCCCCTACCCCTTTCGTCATCGCATTTCTTTGTACCATCCCTGGAATCAAAGCTTGGCTTTTTTGTGATTCTTAATGTAAAGGACCCTTTTAAAAATTTTCTTGAATGCGAGTATAACATGGAAATACAAAGGAAATGCCACAAATTCGACCGAGAAAAAAATGTGATTTCTTTTGTATTTTCGTGTAAGCCTTGCATTCAAGACAATGTTAAGAAGGGTTCACACAACAGTAGTCACACAATAGATGTGTACAAGGTTTAGAGGCAATCCATGCACATGAGGATATAGTGCTAGATAGTATAGTAAACTTACCAATTTTACATGTCACTCCAACATCTATAAAATGGCCACAGCCTGCATTTCCCCACGCTAGACGTTTGCAGTTGACAATTGACACTTCTGTCCCCTTACAAAGTATAGTACTCAACCAAACTATGCCTTTAACGGGTGCAAAGTCACTGGTTTTGTATTTCTGTACTCCAGGGTAACCAAGCATGCGACACACTACCTCAGCGTCTTTCATCTCCCATCCAGCACTACATACAGTACCCCACTGACCATGGTACCTGACTTCGAGTCGCCCAGAATTGGCTGACCTTCCTCCAGCTAAACGAACTTGAACTGGTGGAGGATCTGTGGATTTGTACAACATCATCAAGGTCGTTGTGCTTCTAATCATTCATACTAGCGCTTGGAAAAGTTAACTCTATTATGATAATAGACGACTTGCACTAAGAGGTCACGTGATCAAATCCGCCATTGTGGCTGGCATTTTACAGGATTTTAGCTATGCGAGAATGTAAAAAATATAGCGGATTCGGGTATTTTTTGGGTGCCAAAAGGTAAGTTAGCGCACTAAATAACTATAAAAATCCCCTTTTCTTGCAAAAAATATATTCTTAGTAGATATCTAAAGTAGATTTTTTCTATTAACTCGCCAAAAAAAGAAAAAATATGGTATTTTTTGCGCTACAATGTGAAGACTTACGAAGTGTTCAGTATCGTTTTGTTGGCTTCATGACATTTATTGCCTTAGTGAGCCTATGGATGTGTGACACAAGTTAAATAAAACACTGCCTAGTGTAAGATACCGCGTCGGTGCATCTGCAACACATGCAGTGTTGTTTTTCTATCAGGCAACAAAAATTGCGGGGAAAGTCCCAAACATTTCCTAGAGTAACACCACCATAACACTAGTAAAAAAGCTGCTTCATGTCTCACCGTCGTCATGGCAAACCACGCCAGCCATGTCTCCCACTGGGCAAGTATATTCCCAGTACTGACCGTGATAGCATTCTGCAATTGATTTTTCTTTACCGCTGCATCCTACATCATTGAAAAGAGTTTTTCTTCTCTTCTCTCCTTCAATAAGCGTGATTGAGTGCTTGCCTGCTTTGTAACCGAGCATTCTGCAGATCACGTGAACATCTTGTATATCCCATCCAAACCTACATACTACTCCCCAGGTCCCGTTGAATTGGATCTCCAATTGTCCAGCGGACTGATCGCCTATCAGACGTACTTTCATTGCTTTTTCCTCTGAACAAAAAAGCGAAATCAAAATTACATACTTTGATCTATACGCTTGAAATAGCATTTCGCGAGCAATTAGATTGCGCGTTACAACTCGATTACTTTTAAATTGGAATCAAAAGAACTATTTGGTCTGAATAAAGAAAACTAATTTTTATACTTTTTCGAGAAAATAAGTCATGGCTGATCATGACCTCCAAACCCACTTTGTTAAACATGCATTTTTCTTCAGACCAATGTAATAAACGTTAAAACAGTGTCCGTCGAATTACGGGTTTAAACTCAAATACACCAGGTAGTTTTACCTTGCGTTAAATTGCCACATACCACTCCAACATCTCTACTGTGATCACACCCAGCAGTGTTACCCCAGCCAACATGACGACACTGGTCAATAGATTCTTCGGATCCCAAGCAACGAATGCCTTTAAGCCATATTTGACCAGTTCCTTTGATGCTAGCAGTTGTTGCTGCAACTGCCTTAGAGTAATGCAGCATGTGACACACCACGTAAGCCTCATGCATATCCCAGCTATCATTGCATATGGTACCCCAAGTACCATTGTATCTTACTTCTAGACGTCCCTCGTTAGGAGTCTTACCGTCCAAAAGACGAACAGCAACGTCTGACTTGTGACCTGAAAACAAAATTTTTGAATTAAAATTTTCCAGGGAATTAAGTCTGTATCTTCTTAAATTACCGAAACCTCTTTTTACCACAAAAGAACATTTTCTTGCTTTGTGATTGGTCGAGAGCCATGGTAAATAAGTTAGAAACATTTGGTGGAGAAAAGCAGAATATTTAATGAATATTCATTTTTAGATTTCACATATTTCCGATGGTTGCGCAATGTTGACCAACTGTTGAAGTCATCTCGTTGTAAGTAAGAAGACATAATTTGATTTTAGTACAAAAAGAAAAAAGAGAAAAGAAAAAGTTGGATAGAAAAACGGTTTCTAGCCTGCTTGCCTTTTTTATGGGAGAGATCAGAAGCAGGAAAAGGAAAAGGGTAAACACATGTCATTGGCTATAATGATCGCTCCAGGTTCCCTGTTCGGTTAACAGTCACTAATACGAGAACCCTGTTTCCAATGTGTTATACAGTAATTGTGTCTCAGTCTTTTTGTCGTTAAAATACAACCTGCAAAGCTTCTAGTGTGGTCTCTGCCATGTTTACTAAATGCTTCGTTGCACTCTGTTTTTGCAGTATTGTATAATAACTTAAAACACTCATTAATGATTCATAAGCTTATGGTCCAATTGCAGCCACCATACACGTCACGTGCATGAACCTTTATACCCGATAAAGTCCTCTTCATTAGTATTCAAGTGATTTTATATAAAGACACATGTGTCTTTATATAAAGACACATGTGTCTTTATATAAAGACACATGTGATCTTTATATAAAGACCACTCGAATACTATGAGGATGACTTCATCAGGGATATGAAGTATGCATCCAAGTTTAGATGAAGACATAGAGCTTCATCAAGGTCATAGTCAACCCTAATGATCTTTGACTAACGTGCCTGTCTTTGACTTAGCACGCAATATCCAACGTGTGGGAGCTTCTATTGAATCTGGTTACGCATGCCCGTGACGTCAAATCTCTATCGAAGTATAAAAATCCATGTTCGTGACGTGTATGGTGGCTCCAGTTGAACCAAAATCTTATAAATTGTTCATGAGTGTTTTAAGCAGTTCAAGAAACTCGTAGATCGTGTTTAATCAGGTATAAAAGCACTCGGCTACGCCTCGTGCTTTTATACCTGATAAAACACTCCTACTCGTTTTTTAAACACTACAAACTTACCTTTTACAATCAGAAGAATGATTAACAAAGATAGTAGAAGACGCTCCATAACCTTGAAGACAAAGTCAGAATAATTAACCCAGTTAGGAGAACCTAAAATAAAAGTATTAACAAGTTTTATTTTATTTCAGATTATTAAATCCGACGATCGATTCTCATGATCTGATGATGGTAAGCCTTATATTGATGGTATTCAGTAGTTGCCGAACAGGATTTAGATTTATGGCTACACTGAAGAGGGTTATCAATCTTAAAGGTTAAGTATCTATCGTATACGGGTTCAAATAATAACTAACATTTTCTTCAATTTTATCAATCCAGAATTAAAATTCATCTTCCTATCTACTATACTGAATATTCTAGTATACAAGACTAACTTGAAAGATTGAGAAATTGAGAAGAATTTAGAGAAATAGTAGGCAGTAGTCGGCTGTTTTCTTTGCTATACTGATTTAAACGTTTTAACTAATATACGTATATTCGCAAAACTCTTTTATCAGTTGTTCACAAAATTTAATTCATCTTTTTATCTGCTTAACTGAATATTCTAGCACAATTAACTTGAAAGAGTGAGAAATATAGAATTTAGAGACCAATCTGAATATTATGCTTCAGAAATGATGACAGTGGTGGAAATGTGAGCCAAGCTAGTTGCGTGCTGTTTGTTTTATTGTAAAATGCTTTTGCAAATATATATTACAAATTTACCAATATATACATAGAAAAATATGTGATGCAGACATATCATTTTCTAACAAGCGAGCTTAATTGGTTTGATGAAAATGATATAACATAATTATTCAGTAAAGAATTTCAACCATACCTTGATACGAACACGACCTTTGATTCTCAATGTGACTTTAGTTTGTCTTGGCGTTGAGTGTTAAGTAAGACAGAATCGTGACTCGATATGCTTCAACACATCCAAGATACACCTGGAAGACTATCTTTACTTGGGCTTCCTGTAGGGGTTCCTGAGGTCAAAAATGCATTTTTTTTGGTTCCTTCACAAATCGTCACAAAAGGCTCACGCCAACGAATACTCTTGTATTGTAATCATACATACAGAACTCTTGCGTGTACAATCTGGGGGACAAAAGAACAATAATAATAATAATAATAATAATAATAATGATAATAATGATAATAATAATAATAATAAATCATGAGAAATGTTTTCAAACCTCAAGAAAAGAAAACTTAATTGTTTAGATCTCCGGATGGGGAATTGGTGCAAGGGGTCTATATCTCTTGAGTTGGTAAAATAAATATTCTAAATTTTATCATAGAAATTTCAAGTAAGCAAAATCATATGCGTCTCGTAAAACGAAAGTGCACTCATGTGCTTCATACGACGGAAGTTCTAAAACTTTTACTTTAAATAAAATAAAAGATTATAATTGGAAAGTAAAAGCTACGCCCTTCCTTCCCTAATTGACTGCATTTTTATATGCTTTTTTAAAAATATTTCAAATAATTATGTACATTAATACACAAACAATTGTTAATCAATTTTTTGACAAATGATATGATCAAACTCGAGCTAGTTTTAGCAGTAATTTACTATATAATGATAAACTTGGATTGTCGAATTTGAAAGTCAAAGCGTATTGGAATTTGTAAAAAAATGAAATTACGTGAAATATGCATAATGCATATACATATCAGTAGTCAGGGGGTGAGGGGGGGGGNGGGGGGGGGGGGGGGGGGGGGTGAAGGAAGAATTTCCTGAGCAGCCAATGTCAGTGGCTTACACTTCTTTCGAGCTTACGTCACTTCCTGTGTGCATTATTACTGAACTGAGCAAAGAAAAAGCTGTTTTATTTGTTAAATATATATTTTATATTCATACTTGAATCTATTTGTATTTACAGTTGTAGTTGTAGCTGTATTGATATTGATATTGATATCTACGTACTTGAAATGTAAACTATATAAATGTTCTTATTTTATCACTAGTATATTAAATCTCTTTTTTTTTTTTTACATGACGCGGAATGTCTGTCTCTGTATTTCTGCATCATGATCATCTTGAGGTTTGGTGAAGTGGCTCAACTGTTATGATGACATCATCTGAGAAAATATAGTCAAAAAATCAGTCAGCTAAATCATTGAAATAGTGATGATCTGTTAAAAAAATTTTCCTTATTTTCTTAATGTTCTTATTTTATCACTAGTATATCAAATCTCTCATTTTTTTTTACATAACGCGGAATGTCTGTCTGTCTGTATTTTTGCATCATCTTGAGGATAGTTTGGTAAAGTGGCTCAACTGTTATGATGACATCATCTGAGAAAATATAGTCCAAATATCAGTCAGCTAGGTCATTGAAATAGTGTTGACGTGTTAAAAAATTTTATTGCCTGTAATTTAGTAATTTATCACTGTTGTCTTCTCCACATTGATTTGATGGGGTTCCTGCGTAAACATTTTTTTGTGCAAAAAATAAATCAGAATAAGAAAAGGGTTGGGAAACGGATAAAAGCAACGATTGGTCAATGATAATAATATTATTATTAATCATAATCATCATAAAATCATCATCAAAATGACCTGCCCCTGGAAGTGGGTTGGACTAATTTTCGCGGGTAAATGTCGCGGGTAATAAAAAATTAAATAATGAATAAATAATAATAATGAAAACTTTATTTTAACAACTTTTACAGTAATTTAATATCTCTCTACTTAAGAGGCAAATTGACAATTGACAATTTAATTTTTTTTAACTACTCGAATATGACTTTACTGAACACTTGAAAATTTACAAGACTTAAACTTTATCAATTCAGGATTATCCCATGCTTTGTTACGACAACAAAAAATGCAATAAGTGATAATAATAATGATACAATATAATAATAATAATAATAAAATATCTCTAATTTTCACAGTTTTTAATAAAAGATTCACACTTCCCTCGGGTATCACGTAAAATTGATTGGTAAAACAGCGAATTTTGACTAACTTCGACGATTTTGCAATTGGGCGATTTGGATAGATGATAAAAAGGGGGTCGATGGTGACGAGCGTTGCATTTGCGATCCATTGCTGATAGTGGTTAATATATATGCCCACTGAATGATGATTACTCTAACATGAAGATTGTTACAGTAAACAAAAGAATCTTTCGAAATGACCAAACAAAGGCCATCAATTTCGGAAAACAGTACTTTATCCTTACTGCATATTCATTACCGGTGAAGGTGACCGCGACTGCTGGCAATGAGCATGCGAAAAGCATGCGATGCGTCGTCAACCGCCACCAGGGGAGGTGGGTGGGGTGAATCTTCTACTCTCTCCTTATGCAGCTTCCGACGGAATGATTCAAGGATCTGGGTGTGGTGCTTATATATGCAGGGGTCGCAAAGCATGACACCTGCACTGCGCAAACTCCAATGTCCATATATGGGGGTTGCTAAATTCCTACGTGATACGCCAATTATGTATGCAGTGAGAATAGAGTAGAGACAATAACACTTTTTATGTTTTAATAAAGTTAACAATGTATCACGAAGACGCAAGTCAAATCGCGCGCAATGCAATAAGGTAATATCATCACGATAATAAGAAAACCTGGCGGCTGCAGGACTACTTGGCTAATAATTGTAAGCTGTTCGTTCTTCTGACTAACTATTGTGAATTTTTATTCCATAATTCTTCTACTAACTTTGATATCGTCTCGTAAGAAGTAAAGGCTTTCTGGACAAACTCAGACGGGCCAAAGTAGAGAAGAACAGAATAAAAGTCAAAGCATTATACAAATCTCTGACATCTGCTTTTTCTCGTGCTTATAATAATAATACATCTATTTATAGAGTAATTATATAGAGATGTCCATCGTTTAATTAATTGCGAGGACTCTGTGAAAAATGGCGGAAACGAGCTCTGCAAGGTCTATATATATATCTGCAAACTTCCAGTGAACAGCTCCATTTACAACAATTGTATTAATATTAATATAATATTAAAAGTATTAAAAGTAATATTAAGGCCCCGTCCACACGTATCCGCAAATTTTTGTATCCGCATTTATTTTTACGGATACAGATTGCGTCCACACGTGTCCGGAAATTTTTGTGTCCGTATCTGCAAATTTTACGAAAACGGATACGTGTGGACGGTGAAAACGATTCGAATACGCTACGTGTGGACGCAAACATTTTCGCATCCGCAAAAAAGAATTTGCGGATACAAAAAGTTCCGGATACGTGTGGACGGAGCCTAAATAGTTTTGGAAAATAATTTAAACTTCTTTTAAAACTTCGATTTTCTGAATTGAAATTTAATCCTGATTCCAAATCTGGAAAGAAAAATTAGGTGTCCCGAGCTTGTTTTTGAGATAATCAGCATTTAATGGAAGCCAACGCGCGAGTTTTGGAGCAAAATTTGCGCCACCGGAAGTGATTAAAAAAAAAAAAAAGAAAAGATTTATAATATAATAGTTGTTTGCAGACTATATGATTGCACGATTGACGGCTGTAGAAAATATACTCTTGTCTTTCATCGGTCTCTATTAATTAGGAACTTCATGAAGCTCGCATTCACTTACATATTTCTCATATTTCTTGGAAAAAAAAATACTTGATATCATTTAGATCACTAAAAAATGAAAAAGACGTTTACATTTAAATTCCGTCAAAGGAATCAGTGTCTTGTAATGTAAAACAAATTTAAATAAAAAGCTAAATAAATGGCAAATATTTACAGGTGTAATATATATTAATTACTTCTTTATATTTTATCCGTCATTCGTCTTTCGTCATTAAAAAATTTAAAAAATTAATAATAGAAATATTAAACATTTAAAAGAAAGTCTATTTTGGTTTGACGATAGAGGAAGAGAGCGAAACTTCTTTTTCTTGAAAGTCAAAACATAAGATAGTTCGTTAAAAAACATCATAATTATTGAACATTAATAAAACTAGATAAAGGGTAATTTTAAAATGTTGACAGATTCTTTGATTTGTCGATTTGTCAAGCGATACTGATTTTTTGCTGTTGTTAGTCTCAAATTATATTACCCCAAAGCAATTTCTGTGCATTCGCGAGTTTTGCTTTGAAATCTAGCGAGGACCTTGTAGTGTGTACACCGACATACGGACGTACGGACGTACGCACGGACGAATATGGCGTAATCAATCTATGCATGAAAAATCAACTTGATGGTTCACTATTTTTCTTAAGTATGGTGCTCCCCTGCGGTGGTCCTTCGGTCTACGTGGAGTTCCGCTACAACTAAACAAAATAAAATTGTTTCCACTGGGGCTCGAACCCAGGACCTTGTGCGTGTTAGGCACACGTGATAACCACTACACTACGGAAACACTTCACTAATTAGTTTGCAAACTATAGTTCTCACAAAAAGTTTAACTACCAATTTCATTAAAACATATTGAACATATCCCCGCACATGAAAATGTTTGTGATTTTGCTTCGGGTTTAAAATGCGCGGACTGGCAAGACCAATACTTTTCCAATACTAATCCTTATAAAAGAAACGATATTATATTTAATGCCAGAAAATTTCACCTATAGTCTAAATATGCTCTGAATTAAATTTTGCCTTGTTACTAATATCAAGGTGTGCTTTACATTTCTGATTTTCGTAAGGGATACGGTCACGTGACCTTACCAGAAGTTATCCATTTACCCTTACGAAGATCCGCATGGAGTTGTTTTAGTACACGTCAATGCTAATAGAAATTATATATATATATA